TTTGATGATGTTCAAATAGAAGTTCTTGAATGTGTATCCATTGCTCTAGAGAGTGCCGGGGTCAATGTATTTCAATAGGAGAACAATCACTTTAGTTGATGCTTATTAGGATGCTAAGTATATTTCAAGTGTTATCTAAATATTTGGGGGATATCTTAGGTGTAGAAGTACATATATCCCAATATGAAACTATTGGGGCCTACCCCATGCTACTCCTTTGGTTTCATCCCGTCGGGTCTTCTCATCCTTTTTGCGTATGCCTCCTACGGTCAACCTTTTGAAAGTCCAAGCATTGAACACAACACTCACGATAACAAGATTACCGTCAACACTTTAGCTCCGAGAGAATTTTGTGACGATAGTGGACATGGCCGTCGTCAACGGAGCACACTATTGACTCTGGACATTTCCATGTTCGCTCTGGGGAGCAAAAGATTTTGAATCTTCCAACTACTTTGTATCGAATCCTTGTTACGTTACTCTCTGTGCACTGGTGCTCGCGAGCAAGACCAAAAAGACAGTATTGTGTAGCCTGACATAGAATAGAGCACACGAGACGGCAATTGTGCAAGAGAAAAGATGCGTCGCATTCATTCGTCGTGCGGAGTCTGAAGGAGTTTGTGTAAGCCATCCAAGTCTCTACTCTCTACCCTCTGTGGGCAGACTTCCTCGCGAATATTCTGATTCAGGTGGACTTTCATGCGATCGGAGGCTCGCCCATGTCTCAGAGTCTGCTGGTTTAATTAGACTCGCGCTCGCCGAAGGCTGAAGAGTCTGAACGCGGGTCCAGATTGCAACTTCGCTTCTTCCTCCCAATCGTCGTTGAGGTGTGGAGGCGTCGTCTGTGAATCGTGGAGGCAGCCCCGAATTGTGCCCGTCTTCACAGTGAAGACGATCGAGAACGGACGAACGTAGAACGAACCTCTAATCACAAGTACTTACTGCAGAGCTGCTCTTGTCATCATCGTCGTCATCATCAGCTGCTGCTGCTCCCATCCATTCAGAGGCGAAGATCGACTTGGCATCACACTTGCGGAGGAAGGTTCGATTTCGCAAACGGTAGCGGAGAATAAGCAGAGTACCAACCTCTTCAGCCATTGTGCAGGTACACGAGCTGAAATCGTTCGGTGCAACGGCTCATCGTTATATTGCCTGGTTTGCTCGTTAGGTCCCCCTGATGTCTGAAAACTGGCAAATCGTCGTTATGATCTGATATTCCTTCTCTTCTGCGAGTCTTAGATATGAATCCATCATCATCACCACGAGAGAGAATTCGGTGTGAAGAATCATAGTCTGCTGTTTTGCCTTCAGCTCACGCTTCATCTGTAAAATGCTCTGAATTCTGTCGAGCTTCTAAATCTCAGTACCGTCACCCGGATTCCGAATCAACCACCAGGATAGCACAAACTGAGTTGAAAGTGGATCAACCTGGTGCTTCGTTCGTTCTGGGGGCGAAGATCTCTTGGGCATCACAGCGCCGTAGTACGATCTGATCCTCAGCTGTGAAAAGTGAAAATTGAGGATGAGCCAATTAGCAGATGATGCTAGCTACTGTCGTTTCGTCTCAGAGGCTCATCTTTTTGTTGGTGTGTCATTCGGCTCTTCACTTGGAGTTAGAAAACGTTGCCCAAATAGACGTGGATAAATCCATCCCAAACCCCATAGCAAATGATGGTAGCAAACTCATTACGCACACTTCACTAGTTTGCGTGATGAGGTTTCTGGTTACCTTTCATGAGCGAGTGCTCGATGGGAGTGAATCACTGTCACCTTGAAGAAAGGGTATTTTTTTGTCCGCGTTTACCGTCGTAAATTGGTCAGCATCGTAGCAGAAAGTTGCAGTTTGTACACTTCGTTTCGGGTCGTCTTAAATTTGTGTTTTACGAAAGGTTTGTGTCTCTAGAGCTCTTTAACTTATTTAAGTCCAGATCAAGTGAACCCAACTCTGCAACTGAAGCAACCAGTTTACCATTGGCACAGTTGGTTAATTTTGCGCTCTCATAGCGTCCTGCAAGGTTCTTATAGTGATTTGCTTTAAGTGAGGCTAGTGAATGATCCTTCTTTTGAAGAAAAATTTTTGGGAAAGAAACATGTAGGATTTGTAGTATCAAGGTACATTAAATTGCATGGCAAATCTGAAGTAAGGTGGAACTACAGTGCTTCTTATTTCAGGCATTATGTCAATCGAAGTTCACGGGCCAGTTGGACTCACCTCTACTGGACGGGTCTTGATCACTTTGTTCGAGAAAGAAGTTGAAGATTTTGAAGTTGTTAATGTTGACATGATGAACTTGGAGCACAAGACGCCAGAGTACTTGAAGAGCCAGGTTTACGCGCATGTCCAATACTTTGCATCAATTTCCTTTGTATGTTGTCCAGGTACCGTAGCACCGTTTTCGGTGTATATTTGACGTCAAAACACGTCATATATACACCAAACAAATAATCTAATCATACTATCAAATTTCGTTGGTAGTTCAAGATGTATATAAATAACCAGACTCATCACTGATTATTCCAGTTTCAAACCTGTTAACTTTTGCTTGCTTCTTGCTTGCCCTTGGCAGCCATTTGGTCAAATTCCATTTATTGTGGATGGAGACCTAACACTCTATGGTAAGTATTCTTTAAATTTCATCAATGCCAATGAAAACCTAGCATGTGATAGAATATCGGTGTTATCATGTGATGCTTGTCAAAATCATTGAAAAAATATACTTAAACTTCCACAAATATTTGTATTTTGTTTTTTCCCAATTGGTACCAAAAATACGACGTGTGACAGAGACTCGAGCCATTGCAAGATACATCGCACACAAGTTTGCGGACCAAGGCACTCCCCTGTACGGGCAATCCCCAAAGGATCATGCGTTGACGGAGCAATGGCTAGAGGTGGAGTCTCATCATTATATGGGACCAATATACGATGTCGTGTACAACGTGTGCTTTGCGCATATGTGGGGCAAAACGTGCGACGATGCTGTCGTGGCTGCTGGGTTGGTCAAGCTGGAGGCAGTTTTGGATGTATACGAGGATCGACTGTCCGAGACTGAGTATCTGGCTGGCAGCTTTTTTGGCCTTGCTGATATGTCTCACATCACCTTTACCTACTTCATGATCCATTGGGCACATAAGGGTGACATTTTTTACTCTCGCCCCCACGTCAAGGCCTGGGTGGCTAAAATCCTTTCACGTTCCTCTACGCGGAAATGGCTAAACATGGCTGGATTAGCCAAATAGCATGAAATCAATGTTTTGTTTCGCTTGGGTTTGGAACACACCATTGTTATTTCACATGATGTTTAGTTTCACTTAGGGTTTGTACACACAATAACATCAAATAATTTTAAATAAACATAATTTTTTATTCCAGAGTTCATGATCTTAGTTAATCTAATAATTACAAGGTGGATGGTCAACACTTTCCATCCCAATAGTATTAATTGTTTAGTTATCATTATTTTTTCATAAAAATAATCAAAAATTAAAAGTACAATTTTTATAACAATAATAAATTTTCTATTTTTACAATTATTATTTTATTTATGTTTATCTTTATTCATTAAATAAATAAAAGTTAATTTAATATTAAAATTTCCATTAACAATTTTGAAATCTATAAAAATGAATACAATATTCATTAAGATCTTTCTTTTGGGTTATATTTGTTTCTACTTATATACTCAATACATTTAATATATATATTGGTTTATTTTATTCTTTCAATATTTAATCTTTGATCTACTTGGACAAATTATATTTTTTTACTCTTAATAAAAAAAATATTTTCATATTAAAAAATTCAACACCAAAAAGTATCAAAAGCTTTATTTTTTTAAATGATTGAATCCAACTTCATAAAGATTAATTAATTTTATATATATATATATATATATATAATTACATCAAATATTATATATTATTCATTAATGTTGCAATCAAATAGTATACAAAATTCCCTTTAAATTTTTTTTCTTTCTACAACATCCATTATGCATGACAATTTTCTCTCATATAAAGCTTGCATTTGTTCTTGCTACAACAAGCACATAAACTTACAATTGATTGTGTGATACTCTATGTGATCTTTCTATATCACACATTTCGTATTTATCATAGCAATACGCTTTCAATTAGGTTTGATCCAAACTTCAACCTCTAGCAGACTAACATGCCATTGTCGTTGTAATCTGGATGCATATAACATGTTCACATGCTAGTGTGGTTGATGTTGTGGTTAATGATCAAATGTGAAATAGTATTGTCAAAGACTTCACGTTGGAAGAGCTACGGAGATTAGCGTTGCCGCTAAGATCTGCAAGTAGTAAGGACTATTTAATGACATATCTTCATTCCACTTGTATTGGAGGAGCTACGGAGATTAATGCTACCGCTAAGATCCGCAAGTACCGAATACTACTTGAGGGACATATCTTCAATCCACTCACCTTGGAGATGCATGGAGAATTTGGATATGTATTCATTACGATGTGCTTTGGCATCTACTATTCAAAGAAAGATAGCTTTGATTGGTGATGTTTGTTCTAGACCTCTTCTAATCATAGGTACTAACAATCTGCATGTAGGGGAGATCAAAGTCCTGGTTTGTTTGGTTCTTTTTTAGCTTGCTTTGGCTTTTTCTTTGTACATTAATCGAGGAGGTTTCATACCAGTTTTTATTCCATGCATCTCCCATTTCTCTTTTAGTCTTTAAAATTATTTATAATGAAATTTGAACAATGTTTTACTACTTCACTTATGGGAGTACAAATGCTAATGAATTTGATGCGCGATGGCAAAGGCTGAATCTTTCATAACTTGAAATCAGTATAGTTAAAGTTTGAAGAGACGCACGATTGTTTATATCATCCCTTGAAACCTCAACAAGAATGTTCAGAAACATTATTGAACAGAACAATCACAAAGTTTGTCTGAGAAAATTTCTTCCGTTATTTATCAACTTAATGATTAAGTATTTTACTTCATAGCGAAAGTTTGGAAGGCCCCGTAGTCTAGTGGTTAGGACATTGGACTCTGAATCCAGTAGCCCGAGTTCAGATCTCGGCGGGGCCTGCGCCGCGATCCACCCGTCAGTTTTTCTTTGATCAGCCAGTGTTTCATTGGAGCTGATAAATCATCCCCCCTTCACTTTGAAGTTACGATTCCACACAAACTTCACACAAAACGAAACCGCAACCGATCGTTGACTGACGGGAAATGTATACCAACGAGATGCGCTCTCCGTTGCTGAAGAGTCCAATTTGCTTTCAATTGTTGAGAGATTCGATGGGTGCTTCAGTTTTCCTAGACCTTGTGAGCCGAAACAAACGCTCCTACAACCATGAAGCTGCAAGCTCACCCGGTAACACAAGCCCTGGTGGAGCCATTTATTTCGGCCGGTGGACCCTGAATCCATTGTGTCACTACAGCTTAGAGCCCTTTGTATGAAAATCTCGCAAGCTAGGTCTTGTGAGTGTTGACGTGCCATCGTGAATGTAACTACTTTCATGTGGACCAGACAGGCACTGGAGGAGCCAACGTAACAGGCATTTTTATCTTGTATTGTGTCAGGCTGAGAACTGGGGATCATCGTTCAAGACATGAAACTGGACTATCTGAACATCAGAGGGAGAGAATAACACTCGGATCAGTTCGATCTTGAATGACACTACCAGTTGAGTACACTTGCAGTACTTCCTTCTCCAGCATGGGATCTACACGAGGATTGAATTATTAGCGTAGACAAGAAGAGATGAGTGCCCGCTTCGTAATTTAATAAATGTCTTTTTTTGGTCCAGGTTAAAGGGTTGTATGATTTCGTCCTGCGAAACTTCTACTTATCCTCTCGGAAAGGGACTTCATGAAGCGCACCGAGGAGATTGACAGATTAGCGGCAGTGAGTAGTTAGCCACTGTTTCCAGCTCGATTTCGAAGTACCGGCGACTCACTGACATGGGAGTTCGTGAAGCGCATCAGGGAATTGCAAAAACCACGTCATGTCTTCAACAGAACACCCTCCTGGTTCGGCGTCGGAGAACAATTGCATCAGTTCGACGGCGAGTTCCGTACCTGCACATGCAGATATAAACTTCTCGAGGATTTGAAGTTTGCACATTGCTGTATATCGTTCTTCTTGAGATCCGACGAGGTCGGATCTTCCAGAAATTCGCACGCGCCGGTTAGGGCACGGGCGGGGGTTTGGAAATAGTTTTCAACCAGCAATTGACGCGTCTCGGTTTCACCTCACTAACTGCGTCATTGCCCCAAGCGCAAAGATAAGACTGTTGGACCCGACGTTGTTATTTATTATTGATCCAGTTTTTTGTAGTTGACAAGCTGTATGGGTTATAATGCACAAGAGTGACTCCGTGGTTATCGACAATGTTGTCCTCTTCAGTCAGACTTTCATACTCAGCATGAAGGCGGCAAAATATCAACTGTCTTGCACATTTGCAAGGAGAAGTAGCACTTTACTTCGCCATCTATTTGCAATCAAGTTACGGAGTTAGAGTAACTACTCCAATCTCATAGTTTAAAAAGCAGAAAATTTAATACTTTTATTTTATTCACATAAAAAACGTATGGGGAAATTTTTATTTTTTTTAATGTGGCCAAGTTGCTGAAAAGCGGGTGAAAAATAAATATAGAATATAAAAAGAATATACTTTACTTTCCCTCTTTGTATTAGTTGTTAAACTACTATGCAGAGAGCATCCAGTCGTTGTAGTATAGTGGTGAGTATTCCCGCCTGTCACGCGGGTGACCCGGGTTCGATCCCCGGCAGCGGCGCAAGTCGGCTGAGCCTGATTTCTTTTGACATTTTGGCTACGATATGAATACTCGCCAGAGTAACTAGATGGCAGCTAGGAAAGATAGGTCGAGGCGGGACGCAGGCAGATGTGCAGGCTGCACGCAATAATTGAAAGCATGAAATAGTTGGCCTTGGCTTCACACCCGTAAGTCACGTGCATTAAGAGAAGCCGCTGAACGAGCTGAACTTCTCAAAAAGCGTCAGTGACTAGCAAAATCTATCACTTGGAATATATTTCTATGTTGGCTCTGCATTCACTCTTAGTGGATCCGGCCATCCCTCGTACTACTAGAGCTCGTCTACGCTCTTGCTCGGGCAAGGGTGCAGGCTCGTGGATCTTGGCTCGACCATGCATCAGGGCTTTCCGACTCGCACTAGCTACTTTCTCCACAGCGATGAGGTTCCGTCTTGGCTTGGTCCTTCTACATCTTCATTACTCACATGTGAGTGTGGTATCACTTTAGATGCAGCAGGTGTTCATATGACTCGTTGTCCATTCGGAGGGCAGAGGATAGTTACCCATGATGTCATTAGGGATGTGGTGTTTGCTATGGCGCGGAAGGGTGGATACCTCACATGGAGAGAGCGTTGGTATGCCTTGCGATCGACTAGGGTTAGAGGCGGACACATCTTTGGTTCGGGAGGACCAAGGTCCTTTGTGTGGCTCATGTGGTGATTTACCGATCCTACTAGAGACACGGTTTGGAGGGGGGTGATCACCCATCCTCCAAGATGGGCGGCGAGTGGGGCGGCGGAAATAAAGGTCTCAAGTATAGAGGTATGCGGAGAGGTCACCTCTTTGTTCCTCTAGCTTTGGAGTTATATGGAGCTATGGACACCGACTTCGACATGTTTGTGAGGGAGTCTTGAGAGCCTACCATACTAGGCGACATGGGGTATCACTCTCTTTTAGCTTCTTGTATAGCCTATTTTTAGGCAACGTGTTTCCATTGCTCTCTGAGAGAGACTTGGTGCAATCCATAGGAGAGCAATCACGTTAGGTGATCTTTCTTCGGATCTTTCGTTGTTGTTTGTAGACCTTTTGACTTGGATAGTTCGGATATCCTATAAGGTCTTTGTGGGACATATTTCCTAGTGTGATACTATTGGGGCCTAGCCCCATGTTACCGGTTTGGTTCCTTCCTTGTACGATTTGATGGGGTCTTCCCATCCCTTTTGATATTTTACTTCGTCTTTCCTCTTAAATATGTTTCTATCTATGTTTGTATTGGTAATGTTTTTTATCTGTTATATTTCTAGCATTTTTACAAAATTGTTATTAATCCATTTTCTAGAAAAAATGCAAACCTTAACCATTGTAAAACATACACCTTGTATTTGTTAGGAGTTAACTCAGGTCTTGAGTAACTCTGATTAGTTTGACTATAGTTAGTTAGACTAGGGTTAGGGCTGATACTACTATATAAGAGGGCTAGCAGAAGCTATCTTTGACACAATTAGGGTTATTCAGTAAAGTGACTCTATGTGTTCCGTGGACGTAGCCTCAGTGATATGAACCATGTATTTCCTCTGTCGACTCTTGATTGCATATTTTCCTTCGTGTATTCATGTTTCGAACCTACAATTGGTATTAGAGCGAATTGAATCCGAAAAAAGCCACCGCAACATCATCACATCAAGTGTCGAAGAGAAATTTTGGATCCTGGGGCATTTGGGAGAGGAGATCTTCGATTCTAGTGCGCTGGAAGAAGCACATTTGGCGATATAGAATCTCTCACTCGCGCCCAAGAGACTCACTGTCTTGAGGTTCCTCAATTCATCGTCAGGAAGGAGGAGATCAGCCAAGCGTCGTTCTACTTGGGAATGTAGCCATGGCTGGTGTGAGCATGAGATGCAGACAAAGCGCATGATTTGTGTTGAGATCCAGAGGATGCTAACCAGCTAGGGCCATGTTTTATTTTCACCTCAGTCCCTAGATAGATCTTGTCACTAGGAGATGCAAATTGAGCGCGGATGATATTTGCTAAGTTTGCCAGGACGATGTTTTGCTCTATGCATCATGAGATGGTAGCGAATTCTTAGCATTGTGGCCAAAATATACGATTCTGACCAAAACGAAGTGCAAAAAGTTCGTTTATTGAGATTCAAGACTGCCCACCAACGTTGGGTTTCGGACGAGAATTGGGAGGTCGACGCAATAGGATGGTTTCCCAACAGATGTGCAATATCATCATTACGGGAGAAGCCAAATACCTATATACCATATGTAAAAAAAGCTACAATAAGATCACACTTATCAACGCTGAAACCTTGGAATGCCGACTCCTTCATGATCCTTGTGATACTAAGCATTTTGATGTGCATGAACTGAAAGGATCTTGGCATAGTGCTGCTATGTGTAGCTTCATTCCCCGCTTAGATTCACAATGTTTGGAGAGTCCAGTTTTGTGGTAAGATTTCTCTCCGCCAGTGGAAACTTGGTGCAAGTCTGCTGTTCATTGTTGAGGCAATCGGAGTTCTCCCACAGCCCTACTTGAGCTCGAGCAGAAGGTGAAAGGCGAGGAGATTGGCAAGTCTGGAGAAGTTAGTTAGTGAAGGCATGATTGTCGTCATATGCCGGTGTCGCATGGACATTTCTTTGCTCTGAGAACGCCCGAGCGCCTGGCTGTAGAAGAACCCTCTAGAACCTCGTGTGAGTTGACAATCTCTTCTTCTTCTCCTCAGCACTCCACATTATAACCGGTAAAACTTCAGCGGGAGAAGATTATGATATCTGATGATTCGACCAATAACTTTTGCTTAAACTTCACAGAAAATTTATCCACAACCCTTTCAATCTCTCAAAAAAGTTTCATATGTTTTTCTCTTCTAGATCTTTCAGAACAATTGTTGATTTCTACATTGTATCACAAGGCGATATGCAGACCCCTGTGTACAAAACCCATCACACATCCCAATCTTTGATTTCAATTGCTCCCAGATTTCATAAGAAAGTCACTCATCATCAGAACTTGAACTGTGCAAAGTTTTATTGACAGAACTTTTTTATATCAAAAGATATGATCTCCGTACTAACTTCGTGACAGTCAATGCAGTTCTGCAATTCTATCTGTATACACAAACTTCAAGCTATCACTTTGTACTCAAACTCGTCCAATCGAGTCAAAACTTTGATCAAAACCCAAGAACAAGTCATAAACTATATCTCAGTTGACTCAGATCTCCCAAAACCCTTGTATGATTTTCAGAAACACTCCAAATACACTCAAAGGTCTAAATTTTTTACTCTAACTTTGAATCACCACTTCAGAGTGACAA